TCGGAACAAAGCATGAAAATTTTAAACTTTATTTCTTCTCTTTTAATCATTCAAAACAAACAGCTACCAATCAACAGGATCAGGAATACTTGAACGAAACATGGCCAAATTATAGCCTAAACTGAGCATTGAACGTATTGAAAGTCCATTCGACTATGGATATGGGGGAAGATTTCATATCTGAAACAAAAAACACAAAAAAAAAAAAAACGAATTTTATATTTTATCACTAAATAGCTTAATACAGACATAATATTTAGTGATATGCAGCCTTATTCTAGTGTAGACTTCTTCAGCCACAGTACTACGACGAATAGGCACAGCATATAGAAATAAATAAGACATAAATAACACTAAATAAATGCACGGCGGCAGTATAGGGGAATTAAAACCATTTCTTACCTTGATTTAAAGTGCACCAAAGGTGGCCTTGCGTTCTGGTGTGTTGCAGATGAAGCTCTGAACAAGAGATGGTATATCCAGCCTGTCCAGAATGTCACTATGTATGTGCATTAGCGCCAGATGTGTCAACCTCTTCTGGTTTGTGGTACTCCGGGTCCAGGTTTTCAGTCGTCTGAGAGCTGAGAATGATCTTTCTGATGGAGCAGCTGACACAGGTAGACATAAACAAAGCTCGACGAATGCCTCAACTTCTTTAAACAGCGCTCTAGTTTGGGGATGCAAGGATGAAATGAATTCAGCAACCTCTTTCACTGCAACGAACCTTCTCTCCTTAGTTAGGTCACCCAGTAGAGTTAGTTGCATATGTAGGCGTGATCGATTGAACTTTTCTGGGAGTTGCATTTCTTCATTAAGTCCGGACAGGTTTTGGTTGGCAGCTTCGATAAGAGTCGTTTCTCTATGTGCAGCCACTTTCATTCCATTTTGATCAAATCTTCTTTTAAGCTCATTTTGGATTAAGTCTACCGCTTCAAAGAACNGCGCTCATATATTTTTTCTAACTCGACAGTTAGATAAATGGCGCTTTATTCTATCTAAAATATTCACTATCATATTGTTGATGCATGGCTACTTCTCAAATGTGAATAATGTCATAAAGCCTGTATGGGCCGGGTACCTAAATAGAAACGTTATTCTGCTTACATCATATGACAGGACACACTGCTTATTAAGGGTCACCCTCTCCTTGACCTCGGCCTTGTCGCAAACCACAGACTGTCTGATCACCACATTGCTGGCGATGTGAACATTATTCCAGATGTAGGCGTGGTCCAGCGTTACATTGTCACCTGAAGAAGAGAAAATAAATAATGTTCTGAAACCTGTACAAACCCTCCCTCATATCATTTAAAAGTTATAGTTTTAAGCTCACCTATGACGCAGTTGTCACCAATGACGCTGTTAGAGATGAAGCAGTTGGCACCTATGCTGGTGTCGCAGCCAATGAGAACATTTTGTTCCATCTGGCTGCCGTGGCCCAGGCTGACCCCGGATCCCCGGTAGACATTGTGGCGAGAGTAAGTACAGCTGCGTCCCTCCTGGTCCGTGAAGTTGGACTCGGGTGTTAGGGGGTAGAACCAGCGACGCACAAAGTCTGACGACACGGAATCGTACATGAGCAAGTTGGACACGCGGACACCGTAGCCGTCCTTGGTGACGTGCATGTGGATCTGATTGCCGAGAATCTAATCAAAGACGAAAGGTTGGAACCACGGTATGACACAAAGCATATGTGGAATAAAACAATTTGAAAGTCCTGCGCAGCACCTCCTCATTGACCAGTATCCCTCGGACAAAATCGTCTCTGGTTTGATAATCAAAGTTATCCGTAAAGAGCTCGGCGACCTGGAAGAGACCAAGAAACATTTCACTGCAGCAGATCACAAAGAGCTCAATAAATGTCTACCTGAATTCAAACTGACCTGTGGAGAGCAGATGCTGATGTGAGAGTCCAGGAGGTCATGCCTGATTTCAAACTCATCACTCCCACTGTGGAAAATATTCTGAAAAATATCAGCTGGTGTTAGTTTGTCCAAATCTACAGCACCCTGCAGAAATGTTGGTTGCCCTTAAACATTTCGCTATTTTGTCATAATAGAACCACAACTCCTTTCTATCAGCAACCCTCTGATGAAAATAAATTTATATCCCAGTTTAGTCATAATTAGGAGATAGCTTAATCATAATAATTAGATACTGTCTGATAATTAAGAGAAATAAGTTTGCTTTGTTTGTTAAAGTGGAGGAAACAGGATTCCATAGCCCTGGTAATATGAGGTTAACATTAAGCAACAAACTTAGTCAACATCAGCTATTTAGTCTGATTGAGCTTCAGCCGTACAAAGTATAATGAGCGTTCATTTCAGACGTTCAAAAATGCTAGAGACATAACTTAATATATATGCAGCTATACAAACATGGACAGAGTGTCGAGCAAACTAGTGATTTTTTGTGATTCAAATACAAACAAAGGCTAAAACTTCCAGATTTTATTAGCAGATATTTTACATTTAATCCCTTTTTTTGTTCTTCATATTTGAGTAATACATTTTCTTTAATTTTAGTGGTATGAGACTTTAAAGTGACAAAATATCAAACTTTTCAAACAGCATAAAAGTTTCTCGATTTCCGTCTCTATTATAAAAAAAAAACAATTTACCATTGGAAAATGTAGCTTCTTCAGCCCTTGTGTCTTCTGGTAGTGTAAGATCTGCTGACTCTTGCTGTCCGTTGCCACGACAACATCATCCTCTTCACAGCGGGACCTGTGACCTGGTGAGGACTCCTTAAAGATCATAGTCATGACTGAGATGTTTTTCTCTGTCTTTCGCCGGTGCCTGATGTGCATAACAAATACCATAAATAGAAAACATCTAAAATAAAAATTTCTCCATGATGAATGGCTTCCTTGTATCTTCAGGTGAGCGCTGATGAAGACTTCATACCTGTGCTCCTGCAGGGCCTGACTGATGTCAATGTTGGACACCACATCTCCACAAACCAACACAAAGTCAGAGCGCACCAGAGACTTAGCATCAACATCCCTGAGCACATCTCCAAGAGATCTGTACAGCTCTGAGGTGATGATGTGGACTGTGTTTGGAGAGGAGGGTCTGCACCACTTTGACTTCCTGTCAGACAGAGACAACTTCATCTCTTTAGCCTGTTTATTTGCACACATGTCACACAACACAATGCAGAAACAACACTCACAACAAGTGGTCTTTGATTTTACTGGCCATCCAGCAGCAGAAGACGAATGTTTCCTGGACACCAGTGGAGGTGAGGAACTCCAAGGTGTAGTCTATCATAGCAGTGTTACAGAGGGGCAGCAAAGCCTGGAATCAGAATAAATTACAGTAAGAACAGAAGAGTTTTGTAAAGAAAACTACTTTTACTTGGTGAAATATCACAAAAAGCCGAATAAAGTAAAAATGTGTGTTGTAAACACGAGGCAGAGAGTTGCATCTCTGCTCCCAGCATGGACATCCTCCAGTTAGCCTCGGTTAGCATGGTTAGCTAACTTACCCGCGGCTGGTCTTTGGTCACCGGGAAAAACCTCCGGTTAAAGCTGTCAGCAACTAAAACGGCCTGCAGCGGCTGCTCCTCCTCCTCCTGCTCCCCAGCTCCTTTCCTCCCAGATAACCCAGAACTTGAGCGGTTCTGTTTCCCCACTTTACTTGCCATGTTTAACTCCTAGGAACACAGCTATGTCATCAGAAACAACTACGGTGGCGGAGAAGGGACACTTCTGCATTTGTTGCCGCAGGTGTAACCACGAAATAATACAGTATTCAGTCAAGTAGTGTTTAAATTTACAAAAGAGGATAAGGGCTAATGAAAAAAAAAGATTTTAGATATTATTTTAGTATAATATGAGAAGGCAAAATTCTGAGTTTAATCTCAAAATTCAGAATTCAGAATTTAATCTCAGAATTCTGAGATTAAATTAGAATTCTGACTTTAATTTAAGAATTCTGACTTAATTTTAGAATTCAGACTTTAATGTCACAATTCAGAATTCTGACTTAATCTCAGAATTCTGACTTTAATCTCAGAATTCTGACTTAATCTTAGAATTCTGACTTTAATCTCAGAATTCTGACTTAATCTTAGAATTCTGACTTAATCTCAGAATTCTGAGATCAAGTTAGAATTCTAATAATAATAATACATTTTATTTGTATTGCACTTTACATTTAAAAAAAAATCTCAAAGTGCTACAAAATTCATAGTTAAAACAAAACCGTATAATAAAAACAGTATACATAGTTAAAATGAGACATTACAGTAAAATAACATACGTAGTAAAAACAAAACAGTAAAATAACCATAAAACCACACAGATAAAATACTAACTAATGTTCATAGGCTTTTTTAAATAAAAATGTCTTGAGGCCTTCTGAATTCTGACTTTAATTCTGACTTTAATTTAAGAATTCTGACTTAATCTTAGAAAATTGGATTTTAATGTAGATGGGCACCATGAAGGAAGAGATGTGAGAGCACACAGCTTCACTGACAAAGATGTGAGTTGTTTGGGAGGGCCAGTAACACATTGGTGGAAAATGATGGAATTATGCAACTTTTTATGTATCCAAGGGGTCCCTGGTGATGCTATTTCATTAATAGAGGAGCAGAAGGTCATTAAAACAATAGAGCTAGTCTCTAAAACAGACATGGCTATGGCTTGATGATAACATGTTTGTTAGCTGTCAGAGTTCAGTCAGAATTTTGAGAAAAAAGTCAGAAT